CTCAAGGTCTGCTTCTACAGCAACAGCTTCAACATGGGCAAGAACTTTAAGCTGGTGAAGTGCCCTGTGACGACGGAGATCCGGGTACGTGGGCAGGGGGGGTGGACCAGGGCAGGGGAGGGGGGCTCCTTTCCAGACGCCTTTCCCCACAGCATGGTAGCCCCCGGAGCCCTGTGGCTGAGAAGCACCAAAACCTGGAGGATAGAGAGAAAATTTGTCCATCTCTGGTGGCCCAGGGGAGTTTGAAAAGGGCGAGGGCTCCTTTGGCCCCGCTGCCCATTCCTGTGGTGAGGGTCGGCCCCGGCAGGTTGCTGCTGGGTTCCTGTGTTTGTGGCAAAGCGTGGTTTCCAGACCACGTTTCGTCTCGCCCTGGAGAAGACCTCCTTGGGCAGTGCGGTGTAGGGAGCGATGGTGGGACACCAGAGGACAAGCAGGTTTGGGACAGGGTGGTCACGCTGCCGGGAGGAGGCTGGGGACCCCACCTTCCCTCCATCCCCGCTGACCTGCACGGACACAGGCCCTCGGTGGGGAGGGGGACAGTGACCCTCACAGCCCTGAGCCTTTCCCCATGGCCATGTCGCGGCGTCACTGTCAGTGACCCATCCTGCGAGCCAGGACCCAAGTCCTTCCTCCCACCCAACTTTTGCACCCGGCTTCTGCCCTTTGCTTGTGGGGACACGGGGTTGGGAGGACAGTGAAGGTGATATTGGTGCCTTTCCATCATGGATGTGGTAGCTTTGGGCTGGAAACGTGCTCCTCACCCTTCCTACCTGGAGTCTTGTGGCTTCCCAGCTAGGGGATGATGGGTGGGCACTGGGGACCTGCTGGCCAGTGCTGGCTCTGCACTTGGGTGCTGCAGGGTTGGTGTCCACCATGAGAGATACCCACCCTGGGTGCAACGGGTGATGCTGTGCCTTCTCCCGGGGCAAGTCCTGGGCACAGTGCCTCACCGTGAAATCACAGGGAGGTGACCAAAGTAGAGCTGAGCTGGGGTGGGAGGTGGAGGGGGACAGGGCTCCTTCCATCCCCGGGGGGAGGTCATGGGTGTAGCAGAAGGTTGCAGAGGAGCGGTTGGAGCGGGAGAGGACTCCTCGGGCTGCAAGGGAGATGCCTGGGGAGGGGACATGCAAGCGGAGCCATGAAATGGCACTGGTCCAGCTGTCCCCAAGGCAGGGGTGGGAGCGCAGCCAGCAGGACACAGGAGTGGAGCAAGCCAGGGGCTGTCACTCCTCAGGGACATCTTGGTCACCCTTTGTGTTAATAACCATCAGCTTTCAGTTGGCTTTTTGGCTACCAGAGTGATAGCAGGGGCCTGGGGACCCCCTGCCCACGCTGACCCAGTTGTGGGGTGGGAGAAGCTGCACTGCAAGGTCACCAGCAACAGCAATGTCTGCTCCCGACGGATGCTGTGTGTCGGGTGTAGCTCAGCCAAGGTGTAAGGAAGAGTGGAAATGACCCAACTGGGCTTTTATCCCCGACCAAAAAACCTCTGGGAGGTTGGATGATCCATGCTCAGGCTGTGGGTTGTTGCAGAGCAAGCTGGAGGCATCTTTGGAGGCTTCGTATGGAGACTGCTGGGGCTGGTGGCCATGCCTGGGGCTCTGTTTTCGCTCCAGGGACACTCGTGTTGTGGTTGCTCTGTATTTCCTCCTCGTTTTCCTCCTATCTAAAGCTCATCCGGAGCCCGGCTGGGGATGCTGGGGTCTCAGCCTTGCTCCTTTCCATCCCAGGAGGTGATCAGGTCCATCCTGGTGAGCGGCCGCATTGGGCCCGACATCAAGCTGGCCGAATGCTACGGGCTCCGCCTGAAGCACGTGAAGTCAGACGAGATCCACTGGCTGCACCCAGACCTGACAGTGGGTGAAGTGCAGGAGAAGTATGAGTGCCTGCACCTGGAGGCCGAGTGGAGGTAGGACCCCCATGGTGGTGCTGTCCCTCTCCATGGCCCCAAACCCACCTGAGGCAGGGGCATGGTGACCACCCAGCCCCTTTAGAGAGAGAGCTCCTCCAGCGTGGTCCTCATCGAGGGGGTCTCCTCTTGCCAGGTACGATCTCCAAATACGCTATCTGCCGGAGGATTTCATAGAGCGCTTCAAAGAGGACAGGACCACCTTGCTCTACTTCTACCAGCAGGTCAGAGGTGGCCCCGGGGGTCTCCTGGCCCCAGCCGGGTCTGCTCCCCAGCTGCCCTCACCCACCCCCCAGCTCCAGGAGGGCATTTCCTCCTGCCCAGCCCCAAAAACATGATTTCCAAGAGCCCCAAGACCTTCTAGCCCATTTACCTTCACCCTGCATGATGGGCAGGCCCTGCAGTCCCAGTCCGCTTGCTGGATCTGTGCCTCTCCATCAGGGGTGGCCAGTCCCAACCCCTTCAGCCCCGCTCTTGCCCCTGCTGCATCC